GTTTTATGACTCTCTTAAAATACAAAAATAGGAAGAACTGAAAGAACCTCAGGTTGAGGGCAACTCCTAGTGAGATGGTAAATGGTAACAGAACAATATTATCAAGATTCCTGGTAGAAACAGCTATAATACACATCTGTCTCGTTTCCAGTAGGGTGTTTCCAGCTCTGTTCCACAGCAATCCAATCTGCTTCGTGAAAGCAAAGTCGGACAGCTAAAGATGCTAATCTGTTTCTGGAATAATTGCCTGTTAGATCAGGTCAGTGGATTCAGAGAAACAAACGTGGACTAATTCAAATGGAATTCTATCTGCCTGTAAAGTACATGGGGACCAGAGGCAAAGGAATTAACAAGTGTGTGCTTCAAACGTGGTATAAGTGATCCTGATGCCATGGAGCATTCAATTTATCACTGAGTGGGGCAAGAGGCTTCAAAACAGTTCTAATGCTTTTAACCGTTGGGTTTTCTATCACTCTGTGACTTTGCTCACAGCGAGAAGCAAGTCCTTCTACTTTTTTATTTCTCTTTTAGCCATAGAACAGATGTAATAAAGGTTTTGGACACAGGACCCCAAATCAGGCCATTCTATTACTATTTGCTTTCCATTGTTGAAGTAGCTGTTAAGTCTCAGTTTGCTTTCTGGATATTTCAAAAGGCAGGAGGACTAGAGCCATCTCAAAATGTCCCGTACAGCTGGGAATAATTCACCATTTCTACCCCATAAATATGACAGATATGGTTAGCTTTCTCAGGAACAAATGAAAGAAAAGGAAATGAACTTTTCTACTGCTGAAAAAAAATCAGGTTCATGCCATAAAGAAAAAATAAAACTGCCTGGTTAACCTGAAATAGTACCATGCCTGGCACTGCTGCTTGTTGGCTTCTTGGGGGAAGAACTGGCATCTTCTTCTGCACCTATAGATTTACTAATCGATTCAGCTACAAATGGGGAGTTATTCATGTGAAGCTGATGAGACAGCTCTTCCTGAAAAGTTCTTCTGGTGGATGATAAGTAGGTGGCCACGTGAATAGGGAGGGTCCCAGAAAGGTAAAATGATGTGCCAGAAGCAGACACCAGGGTCTGCGGATGCCTGTGCCCTATGCCATGTTCCCTTCTGCTTTCCATATACCTTACATCTCAACCTTCACTATAACATTTAATGTATTGAGCACACTGCAATAAGAAATGCCTGTGCTCAAGTTCCAGTGACAAAGGAGACTTTCAGCCCTGTAGGAAAAAAAAATATTCTGTGTGGTTGTTGTAATGCATCAGCATCAAAAAAGCCACAATGAAAAAAAAAAAACCCACAAATGGAATGATCTCAGGAGCAGTCCTATACAGCTGTAATGGTTTTACATTAAATTGTCTATAACAATTTCCTGTCATCAAATGGTGACAATTTAGAGGTACTGAGAAAGAATAGTGGCTCACGGGGAGCCAGGTTTTTATTAAGGGGAAGAAAAAAAGACCTATTCATTTACCTTTTCCATTGTTGGTGTTTTGTGGGTGAATGTGGCAGAAGGTGATGAGTCACAATAGCTGACGATGGCCCCCCCCGAAGGATGGAGCTCTTTACCCCCCACCTACGTTTGAGTGGAGCTCCAGAGAGAGGGAGGAGAGGGAGAATTTTTCCTCCCTCATATCGGAATGGGACGGCGGCACGGAGCCGGATGAGCCTTGGTGAGGAAGAGAAGACACTGAAGAAGAAAAAGCTTTCTTATAGAGGTTTTCATAAGAAACCAACCCAAAACGGGGATGTGCTCGCGTGTCTACACACATTTTGTTTTAAAAGAAGTGTACTCTGTCCCTCACTGTTTGCCTTCTCTTTGGTCTGCTCTTATTTTGAGTTCTTTGAGCAAGGGGCTGTTTTCCAGATTTTAGTGATGTGGTACCAAAAAAGTTCCCATCATCTTATTTTGTGGTTGTATCACCTAGATATTAATGCCAGGTTCTCCCTACTCATTTTTCCCCACTTTCCTCTTGGAAAGCAGGCAGGACTGGAATATGCTGGGTGTGACAGGGGTAGAGGTCCTGTCCGACACAACCTTCTAGGCAAGAACCTCCAAGAAGGAAGGGTAGGAAATAGCAAGTGAGAGCTGAGGCACAGCTTCTTGCCCCACCACCATCAAAATGAACACTTGTGGCACATAAAAGGAACAAATCTCAGAGTAACAAGTCTGAGATGCTTCTTTCTTGTAAGGGGATAGCTGAGACACACGAAATGGGCTTTTTAGGGAATTTGCCTTCATTCTTTCCCAGCAGTACAGCCACAAGGTGTAGCATATTCCAAAAACATGTGAAGTTCAGCTGATTTACCTTCAGCCTTTTTTTTTTTTTTTTTTGGAAGGTAATTAAAGATTGAGCATTACAAAGCGTAGTTCTGCACTGAATTTGAGACAATACTTTTGAAGTTCATGAATCTCTTAAGTCTTGGACACTCTCTAGTGTATTAGGCAACAGCAGTCATTTACATTATTTTGAAGTTGCAAGTAAGTTTTCAAGGGTAATGCTTTTCATATAGAGAGATAAAAAGATAAAGTCCCTTCCTTTGTGCTTGCTGACTTTTTTCCCCGATCATACTACATTTAGCAAAATGGATACGGCAGAGAGGATGCTGGTGTATTTTTATGTTAATTAATGTATTTTAATTTCAAATAGCATTTTTGAAGCTCAGATAGCTTCCAAAAAAGCAGTGCCAGGGCAAAACTAATGAATTTTAATTCTTTTCAGTATACTTCTGCTTTCATGAATTCTTTTTGTTATGTTCCGATGCATGAGAAGGCAGCAGTCGCTATTCAGAGTGGGCAGCCCACAGATCTCATTTTTGCAGAAATCCAGTTTAACTTTTTTAGCTACATAATAAGGCTCACCTTATAATCATGTTATTTTTAATGACCAATTGGGTAATAGCTAGAAAAATACATCCTTCATCAACACGGACCAACTTTTTAAAGATTTTTTTGGAACAGCACATTGTAAGTGACAGGTAAGCTTTCTGCACAAAAGATGTATTTAACTCTTTTGTAGCTAAATAATGTGCTTCTCAGACAGATCCTGGGGGTGTGCCACTCTCGTCCCAGGAGGGCTGCAGCTATAACTCACCCTTGGCTGCAGTTACATTGCTTAGAGCAGAATAATGTGTCCCTTGGGTACTGAAACTCCGGCACTTCACCACATTAACCCCGCTCTTCTACATCTTGGAGCCCCTCCGAAAACCCTCCGCTCCTTGGGAGTGTGGTTTTAGCCAGGAAAACCCAAAATCTCTGCAGACTCTACAGCATTCCCACGGCTGCCAGAGTCAGTGAAGCACTATATTCTAATGCTGATGGTGAGGTGCACAGGAAACAGAATTTTTAATAAAATTTTTCACACTGCTCTAATCCCAGCCCATTTTAATTTCTGTTCTCAGCTGCTGGCCCCACCAGGCACAGCTCCATCAGCACAATTCTGGCTGTACAGGGAGGTACTGGTGCTTGTGTTGAAAACAGGGCACAACAAACCACTCCTGTCCGTCACATAACACTTGATATAAAATCAATAATGTCGTTAAGAGATGGCTGTTACTCCTCAGAGCAGCCCACAAAAGGATGCTGCTTTATGCATCCGAAACCATCCCTACCTGGGTTCCTGTGTGAAGCAGCAGTGCTGCCCGTCATTTACTGCATTGCAGTAAAATCAACAATGCAGCCTTCTGCAGAGCCAGGCAAATACTCACGTTTGATTTGCTAGGTGAATAGAGAGGGAAAAAGGCTTCCAAAAAATATATTTTTAATCACGTTACTGTATTTCTTGTTTGTAACCCTCTGAAACCTTCACTGTGTAACTAAAGGCTGGTACCTCTTGAAACCAGAATGTTGTTGTTGACACCCAGTCTGAGACCATTCCTTTCACGAGTAGCAAAAAAAATATGATTTTGCTCAAAATTTTTTCTTTGGGGGGAAGGAAAAAAAGAACAATTTGAGAAGTTAACTGTAACTCATAGGTAGGTTCCTGTTGAGCAGAAACCAGATTTCAAAGTTAAAATGTTAGGTGTTAAAAAAGCATCCAATTCCATGGAAGACAAACTTCCCAGAGTTAGAAAGGAAATAAAAGAATCTTTTGTAGTTGAGTATAAACACAAACTTATGGTATTTCTGTCCAATTATGTAGAGCAGTAGTGGTTTTTTTTATTATTTAGAACAAAAATATATGGTCTAAGCTGTCACAGTTTAGGAAATGTAGAAGTTGTCAATGGACTTCATTTTTTTTTCCTATGAAAACTTGACACATTATAAACGTTTTTCTTGTCTGTTTACAATTTACCACTTTATACTTAGCTTCTGGTAAAACTATGTTTTTTCCCCAGCTCCTGTTGAACTGCTACTGTGATAGATTGTTAGTTTGTTCAGTGGAAGTTTGAATGTTGAGTAAGTGTAATTTCTTTCTAATTAAATGATTAAAAAGAATTGAGTAAGTGTAATTTCTTTCTAATTAAATGAAGATAAAAATAGTAGTATTGAAATAATCTGCTCTTGGCATGAGTTTTCTATTTGTCATTCCTGTCCGAAACACGAAGGTAAGAAAGAGAACTCATCCTCTTAGTTTAGTGGGGGGGACCTTCACAACTGTTGAATATGTGAGGATGAAGAGGAAGATGAACGTGTGCTTGTTTTAACTTAACCACGTGCTCAATACAAAAACTGGTAGGTTTTGTGGAGTGAGTGTTCATCTGCAATCCAAGATTTCCTGAGTTAGCCAAATTTAGATTTCAGAATTTCCTTAGTAACAACAACAAAAAAAATCAGTATCTGTGTGAAGATTGCACAAACTCATTAAATTCCCGGTCCTTTGTGGCTGATGGGAGATTTCTGTCTAGAATAAAAGACCTTGTATATGGAATATCAGCGCTATAAATATTCAAGAGAAAGACACATGACTTTACAGGTTTGAAATACGTGCTGAGAGAGGACTGACCCCACTCACGACTGCACTGCACAGTAACTCTGCGCTGTCGTTCTAGGTACCTGGGAATAACGAGGCCTCTCACGTACCCCGTGAGGCAGAATGGGAAGTGTATGGCCAAAATGATCCTCTGCGTGTGGCTTTTGTCTGCCTCCATCACCCTCCCCCCGCTCTTCGGTTGGGCCCAAAACGTCAACGATGAAAAGGTCTGTTTGATCAGCCAAGACTTTGGCTACACCATTTACTCCACGGCGGTTGCGTTCTACATCCCGATGTCGGTGATGCTCTTCATGTACTACCAGATTTACAAAGCTGCCAAGAGGAGTGCTGCTAAACACAAGTTTGCTGGTTTTCCCCGGCCAGAAGAAATGGAAGGGATTTCTATGAACGGAGTCATAAAACTGCATAAAGAAGCCGAAGAATGTGCTAATTTTTCCCGGCTCCTAAAGCACGACAAGAAGAACATTTCCATCTTTAAAAGAGAACAGAAAGCTGCCACTACCCTTGGGATTATTGTTGGGGCTTTCACTGTCTGCTGGCTGCCCTTCTTCCTCCTCTCCACCGCCCGGCCCTTCATCTGCGGGACGGCCTGCAGCTGTATCCCTCTCTGGGTTGAGAGAACATTCCTGTGGTTGGGCTATGCAAACTCCCTCATCAACCCTTTTATATACGCCTTCTTCAACCGAGACCTAAGGACAACCTATCGCAACCTCCTGCAGTGCCGATACAGGAACATCAACCGGAAACTCTCCGCTGCAGGGATGCACGAGGCCCTGAAGCTTGCAGAAAAGCCAGAATTTGTTCTGTAAGGTCACTCAGTCCTTTAATATGATAATTTATTCTTTTATGGCATTGGCTTTTCCCCCCACAGATTTGAAAGAGGAGTTGTGGGAAGAACCAGGCTCCTGGAGCACTGTTAGTGCAGTCACCAAGAAACTGGAAGGGAGCGAGGTTAATTCCCGTACAGCCCACCAGCCCCAGGGAGCCTGGAGAAACAAGGTGACCATCTCCAGAAGGTGGATGTAAGAGGAATGTCAGGAAGGGGGAGGGTAAAAGGGGTGCAAGGCGTTTGAGTTGCTGGTGAGGAAAGAGACCTAACCCGTTCCTTTGGCCCTGGGCCCCAAACAGCTTTTAGTTGGTCTGAATTTTGTTGGATGGATCCTTGTATCCTTGTAATAAAGACCTGAGAATGGTGAGAAGTTCAGTATAATTCATTGCTTTCCAATTTGTTATTATAAAAATAAACCGTTTGAGAAGAAGCTGGGTCAAAGAAATTATATTGCCTAGAAATACTCTTTATTATAAAAAAAGCATCTGTCCATTAAACATTAATTTACTGGATTGACTGGAAATAAACAACTTTGTGAAATTTACCGTTGCCTTTGCACAGCAGCTGTGGCACTGAAAGAGCATGTTACACTTCCAAAGCGAATACAAGAGTGTGAGTAAAGTCCCACAATCCAACAGCTCCTGCTGCATGGTGTCAGGCAGCACAATTGGCTGCAGAGCTGCTGTGCCCATTACCCCGGGTAAAGATCTCATCCTACATCGCTCACATAGCAAACACCTCTGGTTACGGGTTATTTCAGGGACTGTCTGGTCTTTGTCCATCTTTCCTTTCTTTAATTCTCTTGGCTTTGTCGGTTGAGCCCTTCTCTAATCTACATGGAGACTCTGCCAGTGCTCGAGCAGTTTCTGTTGAAGTGTGGCCAGTCCTTGTTCCACTTCAGTAGTTCATTTATTGTCAGTTTGAAAGCTCTTCTAGTTCTGGGGATTTCTTGCCTTTCTGAAGTCAGTAAATCAAAAATAAAAGTAAGACTTTATGAGATTCAGGGACATCCGAACTTTATCTTTACAAACTGATTTTGGTCATCACTTGTGCTTAAAATTATTTAAAGCTCTGCCTTGTGTAGGAATCAAGATAATTTACTGTTCCTAGTTGTTTCCCCCACCGCTGCAGCTCATCCAAGTACGTGGTTCTACTTTTGACTTTGGTAACAAGCAATTTTAGATGGGTTTATACACTAGGATACATATGGTAGGAAGCACATTTTGGGATAGTTTTTAGAGAAAGATCACAGTTTTGTAATAGTAAGAGACAGGCTACATCCCAGCTTCAAAAAAGTTTTCTAAGGAAGTTTCAAATTGATTTGGAACAGTCTGATTTCTTTATAATATTCCAAAAATATTATGCACAGAAGGACAAGAAAAGCTTTTGGCCCAGAATATACACAGGCTCTTTTTTCCCTGGGAGAGAATACACAGAAGAAAGTACAAATAAAAGTATCTGTGAAGATTCCAAGTGGGATTATAAAACTCTGGCGTGGATTTCAGAGTTCTGTGTGGAAAACTTTCAGCCATTTCGATTCTGCAGGAAAGTCTGAGAAGTTGTGTTTTCTCCAAATAAGGATGTTTTTAAATTATTTTTTAATGAAATATATGTCTTATGAATCAGAAGTTGACATTTACTGAACTGTTAACTAAAAGCAATTGCTTTCCTGAGGGAAAGCATCCTGTGGGACTCCACCTCTCCCCTGCCATCTGCTTCAGGTGGAGAGCCCAGGAAAGCAGGAGAGCCGAGAGGGGCTGTGTGAGAGCCCCTGGAGCTTTGGAGATAAACAGCCACCCTCTGTCCCTGGGGATGTTTGGAAAGAAAAGAAGAACAAAAGAAGAAAACCAAGTTTTTTCATACAGCCATAAGACACGGCTCAGTGGCAATAGGAGCTATTGTTAGATGGAGCCGTATTTGGGGGAAAAAGTGAAGAAGTTAGGGAGCTCAGAAGGGTGTCCCATTGCCCAAGCACACGGGTAACGCGGCACTGGGAAGAGGAGAATTTCGGGCAGAATTCTCACTAAAAGAGGCTTAGATAAGAAGCATGAGGAAACAATCGCTTGAGTTCAAGAACAGGACTTTTTAAAAGGTTAATAAATGGAACTGCATAAAAATACCTAACTGCAGCAGTAGGAGTTTTTAAAAATAAGACAATTTTCTACTTATGTGACAAAGAGGTAACAGTCCCCATCATCAGTCCAACATCAGCCTGGTGCGTGCTGGTACCAAACCCTAGAGGAGATTGCACCCTTGGTCTGTGTGTCCCTTCCCGTGTTTGTGGGAGAAGGTGAGGAAGGTGAAACAAACTGAGTGAGGAAGATGAACCAAACTGATGTGGCTGTGAGGAAAATGAGGATATAAAACTGGCAGAAGGCGGCAGAGCAGGGGGAGGGCAGCGTGGCACCGGCGGGATGAGGGCAGAGAGAGAGAGGGGTGACAGAAATATGGGAAGCAAGACACGGAAGCGGTTCTAAGCTTCGGAGTTGTGACTGGAGAGCAAATTTTGGGAAAACATGCAAAAACGTAGAGGTCAAGATTTTGAAAGGACAGGTTGGAGGCGGGTCCTCGGGCTCACAGTCTGGAAAACAAAGGAGCCTGGAAAAATCTACCCTAAAGTGTAGGTTTTCTGGTTGGCATTTCTGGGGAAATACCTATTCAAAGTATAATATTCTCAGAAAAGGTGCAAGATCAACGTGTCATTAAATCCCCTTCAATTTGCTCAAGAGTCAGTTCTTGTCTTTTAAAACAGTGTTTCTCAGCAAGAGGCAAGGAGAGAAAATTCAGAGACATGGGGAATAGTCTTGCTGGGCAGAACTGTTAGTGTCCTGGAACAGAAGGCACTCACCCCTCATTTCAAAGCGTGAGGAGGTAGGAATGGTCAGGATTGGGTTTGTTTTTTTTTTTAAGAGGAGGGCTCAAGTAAATAAATAAAAAAATAACCTAAGAAATTCTGCATTAAAAGAGTGATCTTTGCAACCTTCAAGAAATGCAAACTTATACCCCTCTTCATTGATTTTAATCTCTTAAGTAGTGATTGCCACTGAGGAGCGGGTTCTTGAGCATGAGTTTGAAGTGAATTAATAGTGTTTTCTTTATGTGGTTTCCAAGTGTTTTGCCAAAGGGACCTGTCATTCCCCAGGCTCGCGGTCCTGGCCCCTCTGGCCCCCCCTCCAGCTGCGGTGCCAAACCCTTCCCTCACAGCAATATCTCTGACGGGGCAGAACAGCTTCTGCTCACTGGAAACTGGAAGATGCCTATGATCCCCAGATTAATTTTTCTCCGTTTCAAGCAAAAAAATAAAAACCAAAACCACTGAGACACTGTGTTTTCTTAAATATATTAATATATGATCACTGCAAGGGATAAAATTGTGATGACTTGTAGCTTCGTGACTTTACTGATTAAAATTATTACTTCTGTCATTTGTGATCTTTCACACTGAACCGGTCAAGTTATTTCACCCAAAAAAATGCCCACAGATGTGTCAAAGTTTCCAGAAGAGACCAATGCACTTTTATAGACCAACATACCAGACTGAATAAATATTTTCCTTTTAGTTTTCTATCTACTTAGTCAAAAGCAACAATATTTCATTAATTCAGTAGTTGTGTGGTCTTGCTAGTTCCAGAAAATTATGTTTACAGTATACTTATTTTTACTTTCTGTGAGAGAAGAGAAAGGAAGCCACTGTAGTGTGCGCGGATCAGCCCGTCTGGAGAATCTGTGGTTTAAAACAGAAAACTTTGCCTCTTTGGCTAATCTAAGCAGGATTTCAGCAGGTCTGGGACAAAACAGCAAAGGTTCTGCAGTCAAATCTACCAGCCTGAAGACAGTTGCCAGGAAAAAATAAAATTAGGCAGATGAAGTTAAGATTTGCTCTCCAATAGTTGCAGAAGTAAACCCACCCCACCCAAGCAGTAAAAACAACGATCTTTTTGTAATCTCAACCCTTGAACAGCACAATGTCAAAATATTGCAGCTGCTTCATAGAAATACAGAAATTAATTCCTTAATGGCATGTGTTTCCAAACTGAGTAAGAGCCGCTTTACTATCAATTTCAGAGTGTTTACCTTGTGTATTTAATTAATGAGGACTTACACTGAGGAACACTGGAGCAGGTTGCTGCGTGCACTGGTGTGAGTAATTCCATCATTTCATTAGGGAGCCTCTAACGAGCCAAATGAGACCTTGGTGCATCTATAGCCAGGCAGAACTGAGCTGGGATGCCCCGAGAACCTCTCTTGGAAGCCCAGGGATGTTTCTCTTACAACATTTCAGCCTGGGTACTGCAGAGGGCTGCTTCTTCCCATCACCAAACTTAATAAAAAGAGGCAGGAGTTTGCCCTGATTATAATTAGGGTGATGGTGTTACAGGTGGGATAAACACAGTGTCGTTGTGCCTAAGATGTATATTCCGTGCAAAGCCTCTCTGGCAATAATTTGTCTACAGATGACTCTATGAAGTTGAAGGAGAAGCCTTCATTATTGCTCTGGCTCCTTTCTCCCCCATCCAGCACGCGTGAGGTCTCCACTCGTGGTGACACTCATGTAGGCTCCTGCTGCCACCAGAGCCTGGGCCAGACGTGGGGCTCTCAATAAATCCAGCTATGTTTTCTGGAGTCGTTTCGGGTTTCTGCCACCAAATTGTGTAAAACTTGTGGGGAGTTCTCACAGCAACCCAAAAATGGGATGAGAACAAGGGACAAGAACCCTCCATTTTCCCCTGGCTTCCTCCTCCCTACGGGCCCTCTGAGAATTACCTCGTTAGCCATCATCTAATTGCCTCTTAAGAAATGGTTTCATTTATTTCAGTGGTGTCTGGATCAGAACTTTTAGTTCCTCCAGGATATTTCTCATCTAATTCATCCACTTTTTTTTTTTTAAAAAACAGGAGAAGTTCTGATTTCTCCAGGGAAAAAGAGTCATGACCAAACGGGCATCAAAGCAGCCAGAAAAAGCTGAGCCAGAACTGGAAGAAGAAAAATGAGGAATTGGCTCCTGAAGAACTGGATAGATTTATGAAATGTATTTCATCTTCTTTTGATGGGAATGTGCTAAAAATACTCAATGAGCTCAATACGTTGCATTAAATACATTTCCATCGGAAGGAGCTTGTTTGTTACGGAGAGACGTGCTGCTATATACAAATGGAAATAGTTTTCTGCCTGAGGAAGCCAAATCATTTCAGCAATAAGAGTTTGGCATGCAGGGTGAGGAAAAAAAATTTAAAAAGCAACTAAAACTCAAAGATAAAGCACTGTCCAGATTCCCACCACGTCAAAGGATGTGGAAGAGTGTCCATTTCCATTTCAAACCTGTGCATCCCAACATTGGCATTAACGTTCAGGGACTGTCAGTGACACCGAATGTACTTTGTTGGACTAGAAAAAGAGTTTTTCAGGCAAATGGTGGCTCTGTGGGTGCTTGTGTTAGAGGGGTGCTACACACCCGGAGTGGGGTGGAGAAAGGCAACAATACAAGACCCATTTTTGTAAAAGTCTTATTTTGTACTAAGTAAACGGCTGGTTACCTGTTAAACACACGCGGGGTTTGCTCTCCCTAAAACCGCTCAAAAAAAGCTGCTGCCTTCAGTTACACTGACAAAAGTTAAGGGACAGAATTAGAACGCACACACGTTACACCACAGTTAATTTACAAATACAATCACATTGTTTTAATGTAGTTGTCATGATCTGCAAGTTTGTAAAAAACAATTTTATCTCATTTTGATTCAAATAACTATAAAAGGCTGGAGAATTTCCACAGCACTTTGCTTTTTGTCTGACTGGCTGGCCAGACTACACTGAGAATTATAACTTTTTTTTTTTTTAATTTATAGGTTTTTTTAAATGTGTTTAAGAGGTATTATTTCTACCAATGTTTGATTATAATTAAAACAAACCCCTTTGACTTGACAAAAATTAAATTGGCAAGTGTTGATGACCATTTGTCCCAGGGAAAATTGTTTCAAGGCATTACTCCTTAAATACACCTTTGAACATTTTTAATTTTTTTTTTTTAGCTTCTTATATTAATTTTCCCTATGAGCGTCTAAACTCTGTGTGGTTTCACAATGCAGTGGGATAGACCATTCCTAAAGGCTGTCTTCTTTAAAGGTGCATCTCGGTGAGCACTTGCCTTGTTTCCATAGCTGTATGATTTGTGATAACCCAGTCTCCTACTTGAGGTTTAACCACATTTCTGCTGGTAGGTCAGCCCCTGCCCAGGCTGTTACAGCTCTGATTTCCTGGAGTTACACGAGAAGGCACCAGAATTGCACGTTTTCATCGTACGAGGTCAGCAAGAGTCTTTCCAGTTCTTCCCTGATAAAACTAATCTCTGTGAACTCTGCATTTGAAACAAAACGAGCCCTATAATTCTCTTTATTTCCCAAAGGGAGTGACACAGCCACGCTTGTTACTTGGTTAGACTTCAGAGTGAAATGGGGCAGTGACCAACGGACCAGCTCTGATTGAATTACACGAGAATAGGGTCAGAAAAACTTGGCTGAAGTCAAAATTACACTGGCAAATAATATTATAAATGGACCTAGTGAGAAAGGGAGACGATTAATATAACAGTAAAACCTCAGTCTGTTTCTTCATTTTAAAAAGCCCCAAACCTTAAAATAAAGGGCAGTGGTCATACTCTGAAACCCATTTCTAAGCTGTATGGTCTCACTCGCACGTCCATTTCACAAAGGCAACGAAACAATTTCCCTTAGGTGAATTAGACTGCCACTTTTCTTGTTCATCATGCTGTGTCCAAACCTTAACTTCAGGAGAAATGAAAAAATTATACATCATATGAATAATTTAAGTGATTAAAAAAGTCACAAGTGAAAAAACCCTACCAGTGATAACTCTCTGTCAAAATTCACGTGGTTTTTTGATGCTGTTATTTCAAGGTTAAGTGAAAATTTATGTTTTAGGAGAAATATTATGGAGGGCAAAGGAGTTAAGAAAGAGCTGTTAGGGATCTACAATTCTAGACAGACATATGTACACATGTATGTAACACACCCCCCATCCCTCATACCTCAGAACGGTGCTGCCTCATGAAAAGAAGATGACGAGTATATTATTACCAAATAAACATTTTCTTTCTTTTAATACGTATTAAATTCCCAGAATCTTGCGGAAATTATGAGAACGTTTTAGAATAAGTTGCAGCAGCCTTTTCCTAGCTACCCCCTCAATTCTAGTTGAAAGTTCTCACTAAATTAGCTAGTTTTATTCCTATGACAAAGTGATAAATTTGCTTCAGACCTGAGCAAAAAATAAACACAATGATCAAAGAAGAAAATTTTTCTTATCACAAATGCACTGCTGAAAAAGTTATGTGAGAGCAAGAAAAAAAATATCTACGTATAACGTGAAAAGTCACATATTCTTGACAATTTTAATAGATAAAAATGAGTTTTATGTATTATTTCAGTCACCCGGGACTCTTAATATGCAAAAGCCACCAGAGGATTGAGTTTGAGCTCTCTATATTTTAAGTCATGTATTTTTCTCCAAGACCTACTAAAATATAAAGATGGTTATCATCAGAGACTGTTTCACACAAATAGTTTACCAAGAAATACAAATACAAGGAAATTAAGCTCTTCAAACTTTAAGTGGCCTATGCTGGAAGTGTTGAACGTCTGTGGTTGCAATATGAGTCATCTGGGGGAGAAAAATAAAAAAGAATTGCAGCCACTTGCATCGCACCCGATTCAAATTCATCCAGCAGACTAATTTAGTGGAAAAGGAAACAGGGTTCTTCTGTATTAGGCACTGAGTTATGTTATGCTTTTAAAATGTATAAGCCCAGAGGGATATTAAAATGTTAATTTGGATAGTATTTAAAAGGTAATTACTTTTATACAATAAAATAAGAAGTCTACTGAATACTAATCACTGTGTCATGTGCCTTCTTTGAACTAATGCTACAGAAAATAGAGAACCCATTTGTTTAAGTGATTTTAATTTAGATTCATGGAAGACATTCTCATCTACAAAAAATGTCTGGTTTTTTTTTTTTGCTTGACTCATTTAAAATCCTTGCTGTATCAAAATTAACATTAAAGAAAGGTACCTACACTTGTTGGGTAGCGCTGAACTGAAAGAGCCAGAGCTGGGAGATTTTATCGACTCTCCTGGGGACGGGGGGTTTGGTGTGTTGGACACAAAGCCTGCAAAGGAACACCCTACTCACCAGTTCAAGACTGGTCGCTGCTAAGCAAAAGCTCATTTCATCTACTCAGGCCTTTTGAGGGAAGGGCAAACCCTCACCAATTTTCAGTCCAGAAGAAAGTTGCTCAGATCAGAAAAGAATATTTTGTCCAATTCATTGAATAACACAATCCAAATATGGATTTGGATTTGTTTCTAGTTCTATTTAAATAAGTCATGTAACATACTGTCTAGGAAATCCTCGGATGTTAGCCTTGCTTTTGTAAAAAATCCAAAGACCTCAGCTAGTGCCCCTAAATCAAACCTGCTTTAGATACACCAGACCCCCAGAGCACACACCTGACTTCCATGTTCTGCCCCCGGTGACCTCTTCAATGCTAAGGGCCTTCGTCTTGGGACTTCCACAGAAAACAACACTCAGGTATTTTATAATATGTTTTGTTTATGCAAGTGTTTGCTTTCTTTTCCCTCTGTTGTATCAACACTTATTTCTTTAGCCAATGTCTTCTCCCATAGCTGAGAACCCACCTAAATTCTTTTGTTAAAAACGCCACGCATCTAAGTTGGGTATTTACTCAAAGAAGCAGAGATGATTTCCAGCTGAAGCAAGATAAACTAATAAACGAGACACCCACATCTGATCATTTGATTATTTTCTTCAGCATGTCATAAAAGCAAATTTATAGGACAGAGTATTTTGAAACTGCTCTCAAAAAAAATCAGTTTTATGTGCAACCCCCTAAGTTGTTCCGAGCAAGCGGCGTACCTTGCCGCGTACCACCGTGCACAGGGAAGCTCAGGTTGGTCTGTGCCTGCGATGAGAAACGCCAAGAACCTCTCTGCTCTCCTCGGCCATTTGCATATGCCCACTCTATATTCATTAGTTTGACATTTGCTGCTCTTATCCTGTCAGCAGAACGTTGATTTGATTTTCGCTCTTGCTATTACAGTGTCACAGGTATAATAGCACAGTGAAGGGTGCAGCAGATTTACGGGCTGAGTGAAATATGATTTCTGAGGAGTAATTACTGGTAGGAAATTAAAATTTAATAACAATTTACAACTGGGTGGCAATTAACTAAATAAAATAATTTTATTCATTATTCATGATTTATACGTGAATCATTGGAGAAAAATGCCCAACCAGAAGCTTATATCTCGCTTAAAATGTTACGAAGATTAAGATACAGAGAGTGATCAGTTCCTTGAAACGGGCAGCTTGGGCAAGAGGAAAGCAAAGAGGAAAACACTGGAGAAGCTGCTGCCGGTTTCAGATCACCAAGACCTCCCGCATTGGAAGAACTTGCTTTCAAATTTGAGATAACTTGATAACAAAGTGAAACCCAGCTCTGGTTTTGCCCTGCATGTGACCAACAAGTAGTAAATTTTGAACAAGAATAGGGTGTATCTAATAAAAACTTACCCTAAGGGAGAAGCTTTGTGGGATTGAATGAGATATTTCTAGAATTGTGATCAAATGGAAGAACTTGCTTTCAAATTTGAGATAACTTGATAACAAAGTGAAACCCAGCTCTGGTTTTGCCCTGCATGTGACCAACAAGTAGTAAATTTTGAACAAGAATAGGGTGTATCTAATAAAAACTTACCCTAAGGGAGAAGCTTTGTGGGATTGAATGAGATATTTCTAGAATTGTGATCAAAAAAACCAACCCCAGTTCACTGCCACCGCGGCACGGACGTCTCTAAACAGCCTCTTCTCTGTTGGACTAAAAGCTCCTGCAAGGCACAGAGGTCCTCTCCTGGGCCAGAGGAACCAGAGCCAGAGCCAGCCCAGACCAACAGGAGACCTTCTGCCCACATCTCCGATCCCACGGGCACAGACTGAGAACCTGGGCTGGGTACCCACCAGAGCTTCACGTGTCACAGATCCCATCACCTCCTTTTAGAGGTGGTCAGGACCATAGTAATATCTATGTTTCTTATAACATGGTCAACAACATCGCTTACTCAGCAAACCTGGCATCAAGGCTCGCATCGCCTCCTTTTAGAGGTGGTCAGGACCATAGTAGTATCTATGTTTCTTATAACACAGTCAACAACATCGCTTACTCAGCACATGGAAAGCCTGGCATCAAGGCTCGCATCAAACCCTCCTTACTCCCAGAGCACTCCAGGCTACTCAGGGTGACAGAAACATCACCTTGTCCCTTCTGGTGAAGGTCCTTTCCAGAAAGCAATTCAACGTTAATTAGACCAAAATGGACCTGAAGGGGTACACGACTCCATAGTCTGGTACTTCAGATGTTAATTTACATTTCAGGAGTTTTTATCCAGTGGAGGTATTGTAAAAGTACAAAGTTGAGGATAAAGTTCTGGAACCAGAAACAGGGACTCAAGATTGTTTCCCGTATGAGCTTCATCACCCTGTCCTACAGCATCGAGCCACTAGAGATTCCATTTGGCCCACAGATCTCACACAGTTTTCCCCATAAAAGAGCATTACTTCAATAGCAGGAAGGGAACTCATTCCACCACCAAGTCAGAAGACCTTGGTAATTGGGTGCTTTATCGAGAGACAGCCGAGATCAGCTCTCTCAGGCTGAGGGTCACTGTCTGTAGGTGAATGTTATAAACACTAACTTTTTTTCTATGAAACACCCACAATATAATTGCCCTCTCAATGAAAATAGAGAGCTCCATGGGGACTTCTGAAAGAAAAGAGCGTAGATGCCCATCTCTAGGAATGAACCCCCAAAACAGTAGGCATATCTCAGCTCCAGAAAGTAGTTTGAGGTATCAAAGAGGACTCCACTGGCTAGACAGAATTAGCTTTATTGCTCCCAGCCCCTACACATCGGCCATGGCATCTCATCTGAGGCATCAGGCACCCAAGAGGTTAAGCCCTGCCTTGGATTTCGAACATTTATTTTCAAAGTATGCTGGCACAAACATGTGGATGAAGTCATGGATATTACATTACCGGCTTTAATTAACTAAAAGAAAACATATACTGTTCTCTCTGAGGATCGACCAAGATGTAATGAAAATTATTAAGTTTATAGAGCCGCTGTGCAGGTAGCACAGGGATAAAAGTGTTATTTTACAGTGAATGATTATATTCATTAATACAGCTTACCAGAGAGCGACTCAAACCCTCATTTGCAACTTCTCATTTCTGTGCATTTGAAGACATGTTTCTAATAGCAACAGCAGTAATTCCTTTGCTGTGATGCATTTTGGAGTTATTGTAAATAAGAAAAATCCCCAGTGCCACTGGTAATTTGCATATAGATAGTGAACTGCTGTAAGATGGAAACCGAAATCACCCAATATGTATATTTAATTCATTTATCTAAAGCCTTTAATTCCATGTTCATCTTGCTGCTCGAATCACTAGTTCATACTTACTTTTCAAAGGCTTTAATGCTATACATCCAATAGCTCCTCATAGAAAGTACCCACTGGATACTAAAGTTATGATGCATTATGGATATCTTGATCCATTATGGATTATTCACTTAAAAACTGAGAAAATGAATTTATTCAAAATCGTGCTGAGATAATCAGGAGCTATTTGTTGCTACACACATTACTCTGCATCTCAGAGCATGCCAACAGATGATAATAAACACCTTTCCTCCTATAATTTCATCCTACATGGATGCTTATATTCCACTCAGAAAATTGACTATGTCTTAAAAGGTCATTTCTTCACAATATTCCTCAATGTGTTTTTGCAAGGATGTAAAATATTGACATTTCTTATCAACATCATCTTCTGTCTTCTAGGACTCTCATGAAAAACCTATATGTAAATTTATTACATAATTAAGACGTAATTTCTAAGTTCTAAGTTTCTAATGACTTCTAAGTTCTCCTTGTACCCCCAAGGCCTTCTTCTCCAGACCAACCCAAATGCCCGGTCCCACCTTCCCACCATAAAAGCCAGAGCCTAGAAGCTGGGACACCTTCCCTCGCAGTGCAGTTCCACCACCGCTGCTTTGACCATGATCAGCAGTTGACATTTGCCATGGAAAAGCCACCACCCATTTCTTTTAAGGATGTTCTGATTTCAGATTATTTTTAAATTCAGTTTTACCTCAGCAAGACTAGGATCTCTTCGTCCTGGAGCCAAATTTGTGGAGGGCTGAGACATTACGAGCTGGCCAACAAGACTCTTCTTCAGTGCACAAACATGCTCTCAAAATGCAAGTGTGAGGCTCCCTCCCATCTAAGCCTTGGCTGAAACTTCACAAGACTTTAATAGGAAAGCGCTGATATTTTGCCCATTAATGAACCACTGAGCAGGTGCTATGAATATGCATTAAGCACATCCAGAAAAATAGAAGGGCGGCTCAGAAGCACTTATTCAGCCGTTACGATAATCCTGAGGTGATATTACCTGCTCCAGTGGGGCCTTATGAAGAACATTCTGCGTCCTAACACTCAGCGTTTGGAACCCAGAAATTGGACAGGCTCAGTTGTTTGGATTTGTCCTGGTGAATTTATCCCCAATTTCCAGCTCTCCACAAAAGTTTCACTGGCAAAAATACTTCCACAGGGTGTAACTGAAGCTAACAAAATGCCTGCTGCACATCATATATTAATATATTTTACGTGGTATAAGCCTGGATTTGGCAGGGTAAGCTTAGGTAACAGCTCCAAAAATATCAAAATAGAATATTGAAAAACTGACAGCAACTTTTACAAGGTGTGGCCTCTTATTCTCCTGCTCCAGTACGACTTTTCTGGGTGAGGGA